TGCTGAGGAAGGGTCCTGTTGCCAGAGTAATGTGGCTGTTGGTATTCTGCCCTTACAAACAGGCAGTGCACAACCTTTGATCTGCGCCACCCTCAAAGTGAGTTCCCTCTTCAGCTCAAAGTCCATTTACAAAATGTATTCCATTCTTTCTCTCTGTATAAGCAAATCCAAAATATTTGTTCAACATTTCATTTCAAACAGACATTTATTTGGAATGAGAGCTGTGTTTGTTTTCCTAAGTAGTTTTTGAACAGGTTAGAGTTTCACCAAGGCATTTAAGCACACACACGATGCGTGTCAGCATGTAACCTAACAGAGACCGTAGCCATTTCCGCTCACTGTGTCCGTCCACAGACCTTTGCACGCCTTAGGTGCAAAAGTTTGTTTTTAAGTCAAGGCAAGCGTCGCAGGCCAGGAATTTTGTGGAGCCCAGAAAGGAGTTTTTACAATATTAAAAAAAAGTTTAAAAAATAAAGTTAAACAGGCTTTATTTTGCAAAATGTTTCACATTTTTGGTCCTTTTTTGGGTTTAGTTCAGTTGTGAATGCTAAGGGAGAGAGTTCCCTCGCCTCTTGAGCTGTGCAAGACATAATAAATGGCTTTATTAATGAAGACATTTGAAAATAACATTTGCAAATTTGTGTGTACACATGTAGAGGTGGTGCCAGCTGGCATGGTTTTGACATATCACATGCTATGGTTTGCTTCCCCTGAATCTTATAGCATGAACTTAATAGACTCTCTTTGTCCACCATGACAATATGTGGCTTTGAACAATTAGAGAGGACTCCTTCCTGCTATACTAGAGATAAACATCACCTGCTGGCTGTATAGATTGGAACAGACTCTCCAAGGTTGTCTGGAGGTCTTTTACTGTTTGGCTGCTCATTCACAGAGCTTGCTTCTCTAAGGAGTAGTAAAGGAACATTGGGGGGGGGGAGATCTGTCATGACCTTGTGTGGCCTGGGTCATGAGGAGAGAAAGGTGGGGATGATGTAAAGCATTTGGTCCAGAACAGAAAAAGACAAGGTCATTGTGTTTTTCAGTGGGCTTTACAAGGTTGCTTAGTTAGTTGATATGGGCCACAGCAAATGGGCTTATCAATAGATGTGGACACCAAGGTGAGAAGGGGCAAGGTCCCATTTTAATCCAATCTGACTTTAATGCTTTGGCGAACATGATTCTTTACCGTGTTGTACATCAACGAGTTTTTTCCGGACTTCTAAGATCTCACAAGTACACTGAGTGGCTAAAACTCTCAGGGATACATTTTCCAATGATACTGGAGCAGTTTGTGGCTACTCTTCTGTTTTCAGCTTAAGCTACGCAAACTGTGTAGATGTGACTGTTGAGGTGAAACTGCTACTGGAGTAAGAGGCATATATAGCGCTTGAGGTGAAGGGTATTTATAAAATGAATGTGTGCGAGCTTGTGAAGCTTTGGCTCAGAGCTAAGTCATCCCACCTACGAGACACCCATCAGAGTTCTGTGATCAGGTCTGACTGTAATCTTACCACAACTTCAGCTCACTGTGCTTAGATTCACCCCCGGATGATTGTCATGAGTTTCGGTCGAGAGCATTCTTGCCTAACTGCTGATGTTCTGCTGCTAGATCGTGAGAACTGACACGCTGATGTTTTACTTCCTCCGTGTGTCGAAGATGGAAACAAATGTACTAGAAAAATGAACATGCACGTTCGCCAAAAACGTGGAAAGTTCTGACCACATAATTTATTTCGTAACAGGTGAAAATGAAGACGCTCGTCTTTTTTTCTTATTCTTCAGTGTATTTTAATTCCGGTTTGTCGAGATCAGGAAGCGGTTAAAAAGGTCATACACATCATCAAATTGGACTAAATGTCACCAAGAATTAAGGTTGGATCACTGAAGATTCATTAGTCTCAAGATTTCCAGTAAATTCTTTTGTCACTCTGTTGCACAATCATGTTGTATCATATAGTCTTTGTGAGTCTCTACAGTGATCAGCTCTGGTTAAAGCAAGAATTCTAAATGCTCTGAGGTCCACTTAGCCGGGCTTCTCTAACATTAATAATGCAGAACATTTTCCTAATGAGGGAACATATTTTTTCTTTTCCATTTTTTTTCTTTTAACATGTTGGATAACTGTGTTAATCAAGGCTTTACTTTCAGATTTCCTCTCTAATGGCATATCCAGTGAAGGGAAAAGGTCATGGTGGTAATAGACTGATCTGTCGTCCTCAGGGAGATTCTCCCTCTCTCTCTTTTTTTCTTCCTTTCTTTCTTCTCTCTTTCCTCTACACCTCGCTGTTTCTGCTCAGCCTCGAACAGGCAGTCTCAGTCGCAGACATCCTCATCTGCCTCCCGCTGCGCTCAGCCCAGGATTTCAATCAGAGGGCCAAATGAAATTATTAAGAGGTGTTAAACTTATTAATCATTAAATTAGCTAAATGATCCTCCAAGTACAGCCCAGATGAATGACGTGCCATTCTCTAATGCAATTTGCCTCTCCACCTTTCCAACAGGTGAAGGTCATGAGAGGGCTCGGAGCATACCAGTTGAGGGTTTTATTATTTTGTTCGTTTACTTTTCATGTTTAATCACTGTCTTTCTTCGGGTCAATTCACTAAAATGAATATGAATAAATACAACGCGAAGCAAGTGTGAAAAATACGAGCGGTTAAAACTGCTATTAACTTTAAAATATACTCAGTTTCAAAATGCAGAGGCTAACTTGAAGAAGAAAGACATTAGACTTATGTACACCTGACACTTCCTGTCATCATTTCCTTTTTGATGATAGGCACGTATCTAAGTGCTCTGAAGTTTCATTTCATATCCGTTATCTCGATGTGATTGGTGGGAAAGTAGGTGAGCATATGCGAAACACACCTCCTACGTAACACTTGAGCTTTCTGTGTTAGTATGCAATGACATTTTGTTGATATCGTGTATAAACACCCCATGTCAATATGAATACAGATGGCTGATTCACCTTTCAAGAACCCCCAGTGTCACCATGTGGTGAAGTAGCCTTAAGTGGTTTAGACGTAACAATGAAACATTTTAGCATTCATGTGCAAAAAAAGATCCAGTATGACAAGCATTTAAAAATATATATATTTTGATAATTATGCCGTGTGGTGGAGTTTTTTCTCCTTTCGCTCCTATTTGTTTTTTTTTTCTTCATAGCAGAAGGATTCAGAGTGTGACAGTTCTAAGTAATAACAAAAGTTGATACTTGTGCTAGAAAAGATTTTTAAAATTGAGACTAACATTTTCAGCATTGATCTGATAAGTAATCAAATTATTTATTCATGTAAAATCCAGACAAAGTAGAGAAAGTTTGCATTCTGATATTTTCTCATTTTCTTTGATTTACTCATTGCTTGCATAATTGTTTATGCTTACCCACAAATGACTCATCTTACCTTTACCTTTCATTTCTATGCAGCATGCAATATGCTTTTTCTGTATGTCTATGTGTCTGTATGCGTGTGTGACATATACCCCCAGTAGTGCAGATTTACAGCCCCGAGGGATTTAAATATCATTTTAATTAATCTGCTCACCTGAATTTAATGAGACATGTCCAAGGGGCTGTGTGCTTGTGTGAATATACTGGATGCATGTGTGTGTCCATATATGACTCTGACTTAAGATGTGCATCTGTATGTTCAAGAATGCATGGCTGTGACTAATGAAGTTCATTGAGGGACTTCAAATAAGCTCCTTCACTTGCTTTCAGAATTTGCATGTACTATTTGTATCTGAAAGTCAAGGATACATTCTGCGTTTACCTTATAATGAGGCTACACCACTTTTATAAATAAAGGACTGTCTAGAAATCTGTTCCATCTGTTATTGATACAAGTATGATTATGTAATTAGTCTGAGATCTATATTGACATTGATTACAGTGCAAACAAGGGATTAGAGCTTTCTGTGTTCTCTGGACAGTTCGGGCAGACATGATCTGGACGTGTTCGACAGGCTGACCAAATGGCCTGTGCAACCTTGACCAAGTTTACATCAATACGTGATTGAACTGAACACAGAGGTTATGGGAAAACGTAGATTTAGAAGCTGCCAAAAGCAAATGTCTTCAAACATCATGTCAATACACACTGAGAATTTGCATAAATGTGTAAATTTGACTAATTAGCTGGTAACACAATTTCACTTCTGTGTGTTGTAATATAGATAACGTATTAGCACTTTGTAGAGATGTAAGGCTCTTAAATTGTCTTTGTTCTACGGAATACTTGAGATAAACAAATTTATTTTAAAATGTAGTTTCTTAACGTTTTAAAGTAACATGAAAAATGAGGGCAAAAATCACTGATGTTGATAAATTAATAACATGATTATTTGAAATGTCAACAGGAGTTATTGAATGATATGACTTTTATCTCTGTCTAGTTGTTGGCAGTTCAACTTTAAATCCTTAAATGCTGTGCAAAAGTCTAGAACCGACCTTCATGCTTTTTTTTCTAGTAAAATGGGAACTAATTGCAATTAAATCCATTATTATGTAATTTTTGAAGCATGTGCAAGCATAAATGGAAATGCAGTGTATAAGGCAGAAACTTTTGACAATTCTACTAAGCTTGAAAGTCAATATTTGGTATGACCACCTTCATTCTTCAACACATCCTATCTTAGGCAAATTTCCTTCTAATTTCTGTAAGCAGTCTTCTGCAATTGTTCTCCAGGCTTTTTGCAGGGCATTCAATGCTCTATCAAGACGATTTTACACTGATTCAATAAGGTTGAGATCAGAGCTCTGGGGAGGCCAGAAATGTTCCATTATATTTTTTTAAAAACACACTGCACACCATGCTGACATATGCCACATTTTTGGTTAAAATGAGCAAAAATTGCAGGCAGTGCAGGATGTTCCTCCATTTTGAGTGTGTCAGAACGTGGTTGTCAGTGTGAAAGACGACAACAAACATGCAAGCGTGTTGCCAAACATTACACAATAGGTTTGCACAAAAACCCTCCCTCCCTCGATCACAATTGCCCGTTTCTCTCTGTATTCTGCTTTTGTTTTGTCGCGCCTCATTTGTGATGGTATTTATCTCAGTGAAGAATACAAAAACCTGCTCTTGTCTGAAAGAAGAGTCATTTACAATCATTTACATTAACAAAAAAACTGTATTTTAACATTACAATAACCTCAGACAATAGCATATATCTGCCTTGTTCATTTTGTGCAACAAATGAACAGAGGTACACACGCTTCTATTGTTCTGGTTTAAATGTGCCATAGCATAATCATCTCCCCCTTCACTTCGTGTATTAGATAATGAGAAGATGCTGATAAGTTCCTCAATACAATCTGCTCCCCACTGGCTAATCCACATCATTCAGTATTGTGAGGATCACAATGATAGTTTATTATTGCTCATTCAGGGCTCAACAGTGATTTAAACGTTCGAAATATAGGAACAAACACGCTGTCTCAGATCACTCATCCATTTAAGAGGATGCCAGTTCTGCTTAGTAGCAGCTGTTTGTTGCAATGAGGATGATGATCATTGTTAGCCTCAAAGCTCTACAGTGCATTCGTACCTTTGGAAAAAGAAAACGCGTGTTTATCCAATAAAACGGAAAAAGAAATCTTAGTAAGGATGCCTGTCCTGCAGTAGAGGTGCCCATGAAATAAGATGCACTTAAGTACACATATTCAACTATGGAAGTTTCCAGTGAAACACAGAAAACAAATCAAGAATGGAATTTCAATACAATATAGCTGCAGTAAATGTTCCCTTTTCCCCAGGATCTTATAAAGAGAGGGCATCTTTCTGTTTAGCTCTTCTATCCCTCTGTTGTCAGCCACCTGGAGTATTGAATTTCACTGACACTGGCCCCTAATGAGAAGCAGAACGACACCTTCGTATTATAGCTAGTGCCCTACCTCTCTCCATTTCTATGACTTGCTTTAATAAATTACTGTCCAATAAGATCTTTTATGATCTTGGCATATGTTGCCTTTTATAGGTGAAAATAATTGCGTTCCCAGATCACCCTGTCCATTCTGAACATGAGAATGAGACTAGCGGAGCCTACAAAATGAGATAGTTTCACAGTGTCTGCACAAGTCCTTCTCATTTGGGTCGTTACGCCTCCCCCTCCTTCTTTCTCAGTTTCCTGGCATACCTTCAGAAGCACCAACCCCCCCCTTCGCCACTCTCAACTCCACTCATGCCTAAAGAGGCCTGCGCTTGCATGCCAACAGGCACTCTTAAACCCACAACACCATCCCCCAATCGACTTCACACACACACACACACACACACACACACACACACACACACACACACATGCACAGAGTCTTGTTTTTGAGTTCCCACTGAAGTGTGACAGAAGCCACTTGACAGGTGACACACACACTTGATGTTATCGGGTCAGGGCCAGAGATTCAGCCTCTTGAGTGATGAGAGACTGTCACTCGCATTGTTTATCTATGCTACAGGAGGGGAGAGAAAGGAATGACAGAGGGAAAGCGAGTGCTTCTTTCTTTCTTTGCCATATATCACTCGAGGGGAAAAGAGGAGCAAAGAAAAATACAGAACCTTGCTCCCTGCAGAAGACAGTGTGTACATGTGGAATTCCTGACCGAAGCCACCGTATCAAACATCTTTGAAACACTCAAATCTGCAAATATTCTCATGGCCTGTACGGTAGCATGGCCTGTGATTGGGGTTTCTGTGTAAACGGTGCAGAAAAACACGAACCTAGAAGTGCTCTTCAGTCATTTACAGAAATTTGCTGAAGTCAGCTCACAAATTGATTTGGCTTTGTTATTGGCATTGTCAATTGATTACACCTAGGGCGATAATGAAATAACTAATTGAATGTGTCCTCTTGTAAACAATTTGTTGAAACATACAAAGCACAAACTTCCCTTGCTCTGTGCAAGAGACTTTTAATTAATTGAAGACTGAGTCTGATAACCTTCACAAAAGTATTAGCCATTCCTTTAGTTTCAGGCGAGGAGTAATCTTAGAACGATGATAATTAAACAGATGCCACAGAACGCACAAATATTATGGGAATCTCTGCGATATTAAAGTGGCATATAATAGACAGTCTGGTTCACCAAAGCCAAGGTGAAGTGAGAGGTCTCCACTCCGTCTTATATAACTGGGCGCCAGGGGTCAAAGGTCATTGTGTCAATTGCTTTCCTTGTACTCCACCAAAGATATAAAAAAGAGGAAAAATCAAGCAGTTAGGCTCCCTTACAGACCAGGGCTAGCGTTTATCAGGACACAACACCGGATTAATGCGTTTTATAACTAAACTCAGTAATTGTGTTTAGTTTCCCTTCACTGTTTAGTTTTACTTTATCACTCGTACGCAGAAGGATTCAAGAGAGACTTCAGAAGACAGACATGTTTTCTCTTTACAATAATTATTTATTAAATTCAAAATATCTTTAGCACAGGTTAAAAATTAGACACTTCCATCTACTATGAGCGCCTTGGGATTTAACATGGTTCTAACATGGTTGAAAATAAATCCTCTAGAAACAAAAACAATTTTTTATTTTCACTCCTCCCTATTTCTGTTTTCATAAAATGTCACATTAGAGTTGCTAGGGCAGAGGCAAATTTGAAATATAGATTATCATTTTTCATTGGACATTATTATTCTTTTAATATTAGAAAAAAAATATCAAAAACTCTTTCCCTTGCATGTCATGAGTTGGACAATTTGGAGTCAAAATTGCCTGTTGTACCAGCTTTGTAGTTTGTTGTTAATCGGAATTTACAGACATTTACAGAATTGTTATTTCTTTTATAGAAAACAGATTAATGCCTTTTTTTAAAGAGCACACTCTAAAGCTGGTGATAAGACTTTTTTGGTGAAATAACTAAAATTGCACCGCAGTTTCACTACTTTTAAGTAGTTTTGCCACAACACTTGATTTGTTGTGGAAGACATTCAGGATATGTCATTAATTATTAAGCGTATGCATGTAAACATGCAGTGGCAATGGAAAAAAGAAACTCAAAAAAAGAAAAGAAAAACAAATCAACAAAAAAGCAAAAGACCTACAAACATGATCTGACTGCTTTCCCCTCAGCTTCTTAGTCCCCATCCCAACTAGACCGCAAACCAGTGATTTTTTTTTTTTTTTTGCCTCAGCCCTACCTTACGAAACATAAAAAAGATAAAAAGTAACATGAGCAGAGCAGTGTAGTAAATGGCAGGCCAATGCATTAGTTATCAGTAAGAAAACATTAACAGCAAAGACATATACTTTTCAGTTTTGAAGTTGTTTACAAACCATATCCGTGTTTACAATTTCTTATGATTTTCAGAGTTTGCTTCTTGTCGTCACTACATGCCATATGAGAAGTTGGGATTACAAAAGTACCTGAACAAATTGCTTGTATATTAGCATGCATAGCTGTTTGGTATTTACATCCTATTTACAGACTTGAACTAGGAAGAAAAGACTACAATACATTTTCTTTCATGTGTTTCATTTACATTTCTAGGATGGAGAACAAAAAGCAGCCTCATACCGATTTGAGTACATGGGACATGCACATAAAAGAGAATGTTTGCTCGACTAAACAAGGTGTGTTGTTTTATTCCCCTTCACTGCAAAAGGAATAGCTCAGTTCTGTAACAGGCTTTGTCTCTGACCAGTGCTACCGCATTGCATAACAGAGATCTAGTTTTCCCTTTGTCTGTATTGCGCACTAGTCTCTGAGCACAGGGGGCTTGGAAAGGTTAATTTACGATGTTAACCGTGCCGTGAAGGGAAAAGCAAATAGGAAAGAGCATGCACAGCACCAGAGAAGGACATTAAGCTGTGGCTGCGTCTCTCTCTTTCATGCTTCCTGTATCTGTCCAGTCAGTGACAACAGGAGGGCCTCCTGATTTGTACAAAGACACTGGGCTATCACCATCCATCATTGCGGACATACTGAGATGATCTTATATCAGCGACCAGGCTCTAAGCAGGCACTCGACACTGACACATTCTTTTTCGAATTGTGCCTTTCATAGCCATAGAAAAATGCCCACATCAGTGTGCTTGGAAATGTAGAAAAAAGGCCTTTAAAATGTTTTATTTAATGGATGTAGTGCAACAAAAATGAGAAGACAGTCGAATAAGAAGCTGCCACTTACAGTATAGTGCGAATAGAATAAATGACTACAAAATATGTTACACCATATCCAAAAGCAGATTTTGCATTTTTATTGTTATAGTTTTGTCAGTTTTTGTAGAAAGAATGGAAGACATGGATATATTTAGGCTGCAGACAGCATTTGTAATCCAGGGGCTAGTAACCTGCTCATGGGGTGTTGCAGTCATTAAAGATATTGCTCATTTAGTGAGGATAACATCACTATTACGTATCCTCAATTCTCCCAACTGCTACAAGTCCTTTGTCCACCTCGAGCTCATTTACAGTCAACCTCTAATATGGGCAATCAGCAGCACTATACCCTCACTGGGGGTCCATAAACACTTGATTTCACAGAACTGCCTTTGATAAAGGAGGGAGGTGACTGCCAGAGCATGTTAATGTGCTTTCCCATAAAGCTTATCTCTGACTAGGGTCACAGAGGCCAAGTGGCAAGGGGCTGATCGCCATAGCAATAAGACCCTAGAAGCTGTTACTGCAGCTTACGGCCCCTCTGATAATAACAGAGCCAACCAAGGTCTACCTTTGGATAATCAAACCCCTCATCCAGGCCCATGTGGGAAATAATGTGGACATTTACTACGGTACAATTGAAATGAGGGGCGAGCACAAATTAACCTCTGGTAACAGTGAAGGAGCTCATTGTGATAGGAATCATAAATTTTTAATTGTTCACCAGCAGCAGTATTTTAAAAGCATGTAAAAACAAAATGATGAGCTGACCCACACTACTGGAGCACAAACGCAGTTTAAACAAACGCATTCGAGTGAAAAAGAAAATTATTTACCTTTCAAAGTGGCCAGACTTCCGAAATACATATTTTTTCTAGTAATGTTTTTTCCCCCATTAGTACATTAGGCTGCATAATTACGTTTCTTCTATTTTTGTCAGGTATATGTGATGATACTGTATAATTTAGTCGACTAAAGATGGGAGCTTTGAAGAACACTTTGATAGCATATGGTTATCCCCTGCTGTCTCAGACTCTCTGCTCTGTAGGGGGCCCAGAAGGGATGTATTCATAACTTTCTGGACTTTACAAACTTTTCACTTCTCTAAAACTGAAGGATTACACCCGAATCACAGCAGGGAGAACAGCATGTTATCTCCTCTTGAGCCACTATAATCTCAGTTCTACACCCTAAAGGTAAACCCTTACCCCCCACCCCCCGAAGCAGGATAGAACAAAACAGGGGTAAATTAAATTAGTACTATTACCTTCCTGTCTGACCCTGAATTAGTGTGCACAGACTTCGCACAATCAAAGTAAGCTTGGTACTCTACCAAAAACTGCATTCTGTGTTTTCCATGTGCATTAGCTTCATCAATTGTGTTTCAAAGCAGGCAAATTGGAATCTAGTTAAGCTGTTTTCCTTGCCGTTAATTTTCTCTCTGTTTTCTGGCTCAGGTGTGGGAGACTAAATCAAGCTGTCAGAAACCAGACTGCACAGCTAAACGGTGCAGACTGAAATGCCACCTGTCCACAGCTCCTGGCAATTTATTATTTCCCCATTTATTTGTTTCTATAGTAGCAAACTTGGCTATTTGTAGAAGTCCCTATTGTCTCTCGTTTTTTTGTTTTTAAAAACTCACATTCTGTGTGTTTTGAACCACTGCATCCCACAGACAAAGGTTGTGATTTCCTCCATTATCTAATCAGATGCTAAAGATTTGGTTTACAGCATTTATCAATGGTATTACAATGAGGTCAGCCCAGAGCATTTCTTCCAATTGAGGCATTTTGGTTAATCCGATTTTCTTCACCCCCATCCCCAATCTTCTTGGGAGCTCATCTCATCTCAGCGAGGGGCTTGATGGCTAACTGCCCACCTAGAGCTCAAGCTTATGTGCAGGCCAGAATGAGGTGGCAGTAAGGGCTTTAAAGGCTCTATTATTCATCCCTGCCATTAGCTATGTGGCATAAGGAGGGCTGTTCTGTCTTTCTTGCTGTCTGGTTGTGAGACCAACCTTCATCCACTGTATCCCTACGTCAAAGTCCACACCACTTCATGTGTTACATTTCAAGCATTTTAAGAGTCCTCTCTTAGTTCAAATACACACATGAGTTAGATATTCTGTGAGTAATGTGTTGATGTACCCACAGTATGTTGACCTCATACATGTGAATAATTTTTCAAGAGGCTCAGGTCAGCCTGGAGGTCAGGATTGAAGTAGAGGACTTGACATGGGTTGCTTCACTGTAATCCTACCACCTTTGACCCCACTCCCACTACCCCATCCCTGTCTAGCTTGAGGTCACTGCTAATCATGACACTCCATCAGACATAGACACAGACAGCCAAAGTGTGTGTTTTTGTGTGTATGAAAAGGAGCTGTGTGTGACAGAAAGAAGAGCAGGGCATGGATATGTATGCTGCTGCATATTTCTGCAGTACAGAGTTGCATGGTGAGAAGAGCTGCTGTCAAGCATGTGTCTGTCATCAAAGTTACTGTATGTAACTTTGATTGCAGTATTACTTAACATAGAAATAGAGGATAGAGGTCATCTGGATAAGTTTATAGTTGTGTAGCTTAATGCTACACAAACACAAAATAAGAATTTAAAATTCACACTGGAAATTGTACTGCCATCCTTCATGATCAAAGTTGGTGGTTACTTAAAGAGCTCCATATACCATGCCACTCTGTTATACAGTGTTAAGTGAGTCTTTTGTAGCTTTTTTGACTAAAAATCATTTTGGGGTCTTACTAGAAAATCTTAGCTTGTCAAATTTATACTCATATTTTCCAATAAATCGCCTTTTAGTCATGCATTTTTTCTATGATACATTTTGCTATTCCCTGTTCAGAACAGTGATCTCTCTCTCTTGTGTGCCAGGGGTGGGGGCAGCTATCACTTGCTACAGCATTGTGTCCTTGGCAGGATTCACATGTATGCGTAGTGTCAATACTTGATGGTTAAGATGCCTGAGGCTTGGGAAGTATCTTTGCTGGCACGATTGTCATAGCAACAACCAATCACTCACAAGGCAAGGTAACAGAACTTTGCTTAGCAGCTGGCATAGGATTAACTAGCTGCCTGTGACAAGCAACTGTCTCACACTCATGGGATAGTTTTATAACGGGATTTGACCTGCCAGCAGCTGTAATGAAGTAGTTGATGTAACATTGCCTTTTCACTATTCTGTATTGAGCATTGGTTGTCCACACAAAAGCTTTACACCATATCTTCAGCCACACATCCAGAAGGCAGACAGACTTGAAATAATCAAACAGGCCCATTTTATTCAGGTTGTTTTTCCTCTGCAGTGTTCTGTCTATGTGTTTACTCTGTCACTTGGCCCCAGTGTGCATCTGCTTCAGTGATCCACAGGCATATGCAGCACACACACACAAGCTAGCCGGTGATGACACTAATCAAGTGTTTAGTCAGGAGGACATGGACTTATTAACCAGTTTAGAGAATGGGCTAGATCATAATCAAATAAAGTAGAGATAAGTTAATAAGGTGAGATCTTATAAAGTAAGCTCTGCGGCATTTATCCTGCCCGAAATGGCTCTAGTATGCTGCTACTCACTGTGACACACAAGCACAGTACATAGTTAAGGGGAACATGTAGCAATCTCTCTTTATCACATGCATTGTTCTTCCCCAACATGGTGCTGTCTTTTATTTTCTAGCCTTGCTCTTTCACTGTTTTTATTAGACACGGGTGAAGCACCTCAGTAGTCCAGTATAAGCCAGACCTCTCTTGGCCTAATCCAAAAATAAGATTGTGGAGCTACTTTATCCTGATACCCCACTGACCACAGAGATGGACTGACCACTTTACCGAAGCTGATCATAATCTGCCCAGGGGCGACAGGGAGAGGAAATAAGTAAATGAAGATACTGTGTTAAAGACATGACTGAAGTATTTAAGAGGGAGCGTTGTGAAGAAATAGAAGAATTTGGTGTATAAGAAAGAGGTGGGTGAATGGGGGGAGGAGCAAGATGAGAAGAAGACTGATTAAGTGGGGCCCATATGAAGGAGCCAGAGGAGAGAAAGGCAGCGGGCAAGACCCAGTAGGGGGTAAATCCGAATCAGTAGAGCTCTATATCCCTGATATCCCTGCCCCCTCCTCTCCAGCGTATCCATCATGTTAATATACATACAGCGTGGCCCTCTGGGTAATATATCTTTGACCTGTGATTACACTAACAGCTTATTGTTTGCACACTGAACAATCCCATTATGTCGACGATCTGTTTACATACAGCCTTGCTGTTTAGATTAGCTTGCTGTGCGCGTGTGTGTGCGTCTGTCACAAAAAGATCAAGGATGGGCTTCTGTGCTTGTAGGCATTTACACACGTTTTGTGTGTTCAGGTGTATAGCTGTCTATATTGTTCTGGTCCTGTCCAGTTTTATTGCTGGGTGGTGTTTAAACACTGCAATCAAAAACATGGAAAGCACATCTACCTGTCACATACGGCTTCATCTTTGTTTCACTTCTAACAAAGTGGAAAGCCTTGACACTCAGACCACACACAGTCTCATATTTGAATGACATCTTCATCCTTTTCTGTGTTTTAAATCTTCCTTAACTAATCACCACTAAGTCAGAAGTCCAAATTTCAAGTCAGTTTACATGTTGACTGTAAATAGCTTTGGTGTGCTCTGACAATATTTGATTTAAGAAGATTTGCTCACATAAATTGTAAGACCTACTTTGTGTAAGACACACAAATTAGGCAACCACATGTATTCTGCTAAAATTCTATTTTTATGGTGCAGCATTTTGATTTATGTCTTTTATTAATTTTACTCCAAAAGAAAGCACCTGTTTTGCAGAGTTGATGTCGTTTCCTACTTCAACTGCATTTTTGATGGTTGAGAAATTTCTGCAGCTGCATCCAGAAAGAGTACAGATGTAGTGGGCAGGCATTACAGAAGCATAGAGGGTATTGGGTATTTGGCCACAAGGGTGAACATCTGGTGGAGCAGAGGGCCATACTCATTAACACAAAGTTAACCTTAGACAGGACATTAGGTCATGACAGCCCAGAGAGCTGTATGATAGTAATAGATGGGGTCAAGGGGTTATTGAAAAATTTTTAAAAATTGACAAATAAGTGGACCGACCAGTAAGGTATGTCAACATCAGCTTAGTACAACCTTAAATTTTGATCAGAAGCTGTGAAATTACACAAAAAAAGAAAAAAAAAAACTCCTTTCAGCCCAGCCTTGTTTCCTTTCCTTCCCCTCCTCTGCTTTGCTCTTGGACTTCTCTGTCAGTGCATACACTCATTGAGACGTGCAAATCCCTTTGACACTGGATGAATAGACAGTTGCTGGCAGGATGCCCTATGCCACTTTGTGCGCAGCCACTTAATTGGAGCGCCCCAGTTTTCCTTCTCTTCTTCTACCCACATTCGCTGTGGCCAGATTCTGTGTGACATCAGCAGGGACAGTATGTGTTCCTTCAGAGAGTTTAAACCTTATCAGAACTGCTGTTTGCTGGAAGACAACATGTCACAGTAGACATCAAACTGTTTCTGTCACCTTACTGTAAATCTCCTGCCATCAAATATGGAGATGTAAAGCTGTCAAAGGGCTTGCATTGGTTTAGAGAGTCAACCCACTCACTACCTGCTCATCCTCTTGTTTGAATAAAGGTCACATTCCATCTACAAATCAACATGCAAAGTACAGCATCTGAGACTATACATACTTGACATAGTGTACATATATACAGCAACATATTCGAGAGGCATTGTGTATGATTGAGCATCTCTATGCATGCGTCATATGTGTGTACTTGTTGGGCATTGGTTTGGTTTCTCCCATTGCCATATAGATCCATCCAAAGCATTTAATGCTGAACTCTCCTCGTGAGGCTCTAGAGGGACATGCAGCAGAAACGTGGGGTAGTAGAGGGGGGTCAGTGTGAAGACATGGATTTCTTGATGCACAGCAGAACACTGAGAGGTAGAGGATGCACAACGGTGGAGATGAGGTCTTCAACAAGCTAGAAATTATCCCTGTTGTCCATGCAAAAGGATTTCTGTCTTCACCAGTGAGGGCCTAATCCTTGAGGTCATCTCTTCATTGGCTTGGTACGATGTCAGTCAGTCCTTTTGGTTAGCTTCATAGTCCACTGAAGGCAGAGGCCAGAATCCTCATTTCTACATTGCAGTTACTGAGGTCTTCTTTTGCCCCTGTGTAGGCTCAGGACTGGAGCACAGTTTCAAACCATGCAAAGAAAAAAACGTGTCCCTCTCAGGCTAACAGCAGCTTTGCTACAACAGTTACGAAGTGGGCATGAGAGGGCAGGGCAGTTGTTGTAGTAGAAAATAATAAATAAGAAGACAATGGGAGAAATCTGTAAATTATATATAAAAAAAAAGAAAAAGAAAAAAAAAGTACATCAAATATTAAACCTAATACTTAGGTTTAAAACTATGTTAGAATCATGGCTTTGGCAAATTGCCTGCTTCTTCTGTTCAATTTGCCTGTTTCCCAATGGAATTCACTGATGATAGCAAAGGAGTTTCTGTTGTATAATCATTGTAATGTGGCCGGATAAATTTGATCTATTCAGACAGTATCCAGGTATCTGAGACTAAATCACTGGCCATCAGAAAATATCTTCAGCTATTTTAAACTTTCAAAAATGTTGTCTGAAATATCCACATACTGAGATTTGTGATCTAAGAGCGTGGTAAATATACACTAAAGTCTGATCCATGCGGTTGTCTTCATTTGTCTCTATTTACACGTACTAGTGTGGATACTGGAGAGGAAGACTAGGCTGAGAATAAGAACAATTGTAAGTACAGTTTTTACAATTAAATTAACTTCAAAGACTAGAGAAGCAATATCTGAAATGATAGCTACATGGGCTCTGAATAGGTAAGAATACTGATTTTATATGGAAAATATTGAACCATGGGTATTCTATTCACAGTAATGAAGGTTTATGAATTTGGTGAGAGCAACTCGGTACGTTTCCTATATTAGGAATAAGAATAGGGTTTTATTGTGATCTATTTACAGAAGCATGCATCAGTGATCTTCCCATCGAAGAGAATCAACCATCTCCTGATTATGAGTCTCTGTGATTTTTATTTTTGTTTTATTTTATTTTATTTCTTTTTTATTTTTGTGGTTTTGTAGAAAAAAGCTGGAGGTAAAATATTGGGAAAGGAAACAGGAATAGTAAGAGGCTTTTCAAGAATCGCTGTAGAGATTTTGAAGAATTCCAGCGGGCCTTGTTTGTTGTTCTTCGGGAAATAATTTTGAATGTTGTGCTTTGTAGGTGTCTCGGTGCAATTGGTCAGTCGCTTTGATGTCATCACTGCTCAGTCATTAGGTTATCTGTTAATGGAGAGAGACAGAAAGAGAAAGGGGGGAGGAGGGGTTGGACAAGAAAAGAAGACAAGAATTAAAGTGGGAGTCATACTGCAATTGACTAGTGTTGCTTTTCCATGTACGCCGTGAACACACACACGCACACATATAAACACACACTCACAGTTGTGTTTTCATATCTTTGTGGTGACATCTAAGCGACATAATGCTTTCCCTAGTTGCTCACCATTACCCTAACCATCAAAAATGAATGCCTAACCGTAGCGCTTACCCTAAACCTACCCATAACTTAATTATAACTCTGACACTAAAACCACATTTTGAGTCTCAAAAATGCCTTCAAACTCGTGTGGACAGGCATTTTGTTCCCATAAGGGCTGTTGGTCCCCACAAGTATAGTAAACTTTTTGGTCCCCACAAAGATATGTAAACACACACACACACACACACACACAC